GTCGAGGCTAAGATGTAGAATGATGCAAAACATTAACATTAACATTAGTTAAAGAGTTCCAAACTCCCACTGGAATTAGTATTAGCACAAAACCTGTGTGGCAGGAGCTTCATGGAATGGGTTTCCATGGGCGAGTGGCTGCATGCAAAGCTCACATCACAACTACAATACCAAGAGTCAGATCAGGTGGTGTAAAGCACACCGCCACTGGACTCTAGAACAGTGGAAACGTGTTATTAGTAAGTCACCAAACAGAAGAACCCTGGTCACACCCCGAATCACACCCCTAAAATCAAAGTGTCCCTCTCAGTCTATTTAAAATGTTGGGAGATTTGCAGGGGTGTCAAACGTTACCCCTTGGAGACATTGCTTGGCTACAGCACTCAGCTTGGCAGAGAAGGAGACTTGTCATCTATTATGTGATTTGTCACCATTTCACTTCCTTGATACAACGTTTCTCCTACACAGAATAATAAATCCTGATACAGTGTCATCTTAATCCATTCCATCTTTCACAATACTATTTTTGTGTGTTTAACGGTCTAAGTGCCTGATGAACGGACAAGTTTAGATCTTTGCTTATAGCCTCCTTGGCACTATACTTTCCTCTGGAACACCAAGTTACCCAATCAGCAGTTCTTTTACCGTATTTTATTATCTTTGCCGTAGAATTAAGCCTTTTCTAATTAATTCCATCTCCTTTATTTATCCCGAGATCCTGCGCTGTCCCCATCGCTGCTCCTGGCAGCCGCAGTGCAAATATCCTCTCCTTGCCCTTTTAAGATACAGCGGCCCCTCATTTGTTTGCATTTGCCAGTTTCCAGGACATGATGAAGGAAAAAGTTTTAATATTCGGCACCATGAATTTTTAATGTAAAGCACCCACTCCGGTCTCATTATTTGCCCGCACTTCAGCAATTTAGGAGTGCGTTTGTTTAGATAATGTTCAGTTCAGAAAAAGCCTTTACCTTCCTCCCCCATAGTGACCATTAAATTTCTATACCAGTACGGCGATGCAGCATGTGCTGGCTCTGCACTTCTCTAAGCCGGCTGTGCAGCAGAACTAATAGGAGTCTGATATTGAGGTCAATCTCCACTGCACTCCAAGGAACTTTTTCCTTTTCCCACGGTATTCAGATAAATTAGACCCCACCAACTGCTCCTGTGAAAATGCTAAGAGTGAACTGTAAAATATAACAGGCTAAGACACGAATCCAGAGCGAGACGGGCCATGCGGAGAGCAGACATCCCCGATTGGTTTGTTGAGTGTCTGAAATGACATAACATCACCGGGAGGCTGCTGGCGTGTTACGGCGACAAGAAGATAATATTTATACTTAATTAACCATTTCATATCCACAGGACCTGACGTACCTCCACAATATCATTTACCTCGTTTAGAGAATTCGAGTCCCTTTAGGAATAAGGAGGTTTCTAAGAAGGTGAAAAAGTAAGGGAATCAGGGAAAATGTGACAAAAATGACTATGAAATTACCTTGTTACTGATATATGGAAAATATTGAAATGTATCATGTTTGCAAAAGTTCCTCTATCTATCTATCTATCTATCTATCTATCCAGTATCTATCTAGTATTTATCTATCTATTTCTATCTATCTATACAGTATCTATCTATCTATCTATCTATCTAGTATCTAGCTAGTATCTATCTATCTATTTCTATCTATCTATCTATCTATCTATCTATCTAGTATTTATCTATCTATCTATCTATCTATCTATCTATCTATCTAGTATTTATCTATCTATCTATCTATCTATCTATCTATCTATCTATCTATCCAGTATCTATCTAGTATCTATCTATCTATTTCTATCTATCTATACAGTATCTATCTATCTTTCTATCTATCTATCTATCTATCTATCTATCTATCTAGTATCTATCTATCTATCTATCTATCTATCTAGTATTTATCTATCTATACAGTATCTATATATCTATCTAGTATCTATCGATCGATCTATTTATCTAGTATCTATCTATCTATCTATCTATCTAGTATCTATCTATCTATCTATCTATCTAGTATCTATCTATCTATCTATCTATCTAGTATCTATCTATCTATCTATCTATCTATCTATCTATCTAGTATCTATCTATCTATCTATCTATCTATCTAGTATTTATCTATCTATACAGTATCTATATATCTATCTAGTATCTATCGATCGATCTATTTATCTAGTATCTATCTATCTATCTATCTATCTATCTAGTATTTATCTATCTATACAGTATCTATATATCTATCTAGTATCTATCGATCGATCTATCTATCTATCTATCTATCTATCTATCTATCTGTCTATCTGTCTATACTTTTACATCTAATATTTTTTTTTTTTTTTAATTGCCGTATTCTATTAGTAGTTATGCTGCCATTTTTATTTAACTGTCTGCCCCTCTCGTGGACTGCATATTGGAAGTGTAGCTGGGGAGACAGGGGCAGTGACGTTTTCTTCCCTCGGTTCCTCTCCAGACATGTCGAGAGATGGATTGATTTAATGGGGACAGCTGCAAATATTTGTAGTTATGTATTTTCTTTCTCCGTAAAACAAAGATTAGTTTAAAGTGAAAATAAAAAAACAAACAGTTTTGGAAAGACTTCAAACTTGGTTGTCTATAAAATATTCATTTTAAATTGTATTATAATTTTTTTTATTTACCTTCAACTTAACGAAACTAAATGATATCCACATAAAAACACAAAACAGTAAAAAAAAAAAAAATGAAAACAAAGTCTCCTGAGCAATACTATCACATTTAAACTAAGCTGTACCTTACCACACGCTTGGCCTTTTTGAGCTTTCCCTCAGCCTGTCTTTCACTGGGCTCTGATCATGAGCAACACTAATCAAATGTAAATGAATAAAGAAATACTGACATCAGGACTGATCGTCCCGAAAGAGGAGTCTGACGCTTGGCCAGTTCTTTGTAAAATATAACTTTTTATAACATAATATTAAACAAATTAGGCAACCACAAGAAACTCACACAATGGGAGAGGGACTAAAACCATAACAGAAAAATGTAAAATAAAAAAATAGTTTTTTTTACTTTCTTTTTTTCTATGTGTTTAGATCGAATGGACATAGTATCAGACTCCCCGTTTAGGAAGTTTTGTCCCGAAGTGAGTGTGAACAAAAATTTACATTTTAACATTTAAAATTTCAATTTAACATTTCCCCCCAACAGACGGTGTTAAATAGAATAGGAAATACTTTTTATATTTAAATTCAATGTATGTTTTTTTATAGGTTATATCAGTGGTTCCCAAACTTTTTAGGTTCAAGGCACCCTTAATATTTCAATATTTTTCCAAGTTAAAATTTCTAGGTTGTATATCTGTACAGCGCTGCAGCATTTACTGGCGCTGTAGTGTAATGTACAGTGTTGGTGTTTGAAGTCGTGCTTGTATACATTTATTGTGTTTTAACCCCTTAAGGACGGAGCCAAATGTACACGTTGTGAACAAAACAAAACGTAAACAAAACCTGGCATTTGCGCTACGTGTCTGTCCAACCGTAATACACCTCTTTCATATTAAATGCACCCACCCTTATTATATATCATTTTATTCAGGGGAAACAGGGCTTTCATTTAATATCAAATATTTAGCTATGAAACATAATTTAATATGAAAAAAAATGGGAGAAAAAAAAAATTTTGTTATTTTTTTAGTTCTACGTGACATTTTAACTGTCAATGTCATAATACTGTTTGCTTTTACTGCAATAAAATACACATATTTGTATTCAGCAAAGTCTCACGTGTAAAACAGTACCCCCTATGTACAGGTTTTATGGCGTTTTTGGAAGTTACAGGGTCAAATATAGCACGTTACATTTTGAAATTGAAATTCGCCAAATTGGTTACGTTGCCTTAGGGACTGTATAGTAGCCCAGGAATTAAATTTACACCCATAATGGCATACTATTTGCAATAGTAGACAACCCAAGGTATTGCAAATGGGGTATGTCCAGTCTTTTTTAGTAGCCATTTGGTCACAAACACTGGCCAAAGTTAGCGTTAGTATTTGTTTGTGTGTGAAAATGCAAAAA